GCAGCAATGAAAAAAAAAATAAACATAGTGAAACTCCAGAAAAAGGGGGAAAAAACTGCACTGAGTAAATATGCTATCAGAGACCTCTCCAAAGTCCTGAAGAACAACAGTATCAGTCTGGTGACTAAGGTGAGCCTGATCCAGGCCACTGTCTTTGCAATTACTTATTATGCATCAGAAAGCTGGACAATGGCTAAGGTTGACAGAAGAAGAATCAATGCCTTTGAGTTGTGGTGCTGAAGAGTACTGCCATGACAACAAACAGGCCTATCCTTGAGATGGGGAAACCAGGTTGCTCCTTGGAGGCAAGGACTTTTAATAACAACATCATTCATGAGCAATGAGAGCCTTTAAAAAAATCATCTCTATGAGGCCAGATGACCAAAACCTACTCTGTCATAAAGAAAAAAAGGTAAAGGCAGGGAAACTAGTGGAAATAGTACAACTAGAATTGAATGAATGAGAATGAGGATATATTATGAAAAATGTAACCAACATCACTGAATATGTTGTAGTTATGTTACACCGAGTCACCTACAACTCATAGTGACCCCTATGTACAATAGCTCTGACCCCTGGTCTATCCTGAGTCAATCTCATTGTTTATGACACACCTACCCTCATTACTCCAGTCACTGTGTCAATCCATCTCATCTGAGGTCTTCCTCTCCAGTGCTGTTCCTCCATTCTTCCAAGCATGATATCCTTCTCCAAAGACTGGTCCCTTCTGGCTACATGCCCAAAGTATGTAAAATGGAGTCTCAAAATCTTTGCCTCCAGCTTGGTTTCACTCTTCAGGACACACTTGTTAGTTTTCTCAGCAACCCGTATATTCAATACTCTTCTCCTGAATCACAACTCAAAGGCATTGATTCTTTTTCTGTCATATTTAGTCACTGATCAGCTATCTGGTACATAGCAAGTAACTGCAAAGACCATGCCCTGGATCAGATGCACCTTAGTCCCTAGACTTATATCATTTCTCTTTAGCACTTTGGAGAGGTCCCTGACAGAAGACATCCTCAATAGAAATTGTTAAATGAGAATTTACCTAAAACACATTAAAATACTATTTTTAAAAATGAATAAATAAAATTACTTCTAAAAAATTTTAAATCTGCCAGTTCAGAATTATAACTGGGAATTCTAATTAGACATTCAATAGTAGTCATTACTTTCTGGTTTTGACTCTGTTCACAGTTTTTAATATACACACATACCTTAAGCGGACATTGGCACCAATATAAGATTCATATGGTTTTTCAACTTGCATAAATTCAAAATCATAACTTCTGCTCTGAGTTAGTTCTCCAGGCAAAGCCAGTTCTTTCACAAGGTTTACAAATTCGTGAGTATTACTCTTGTCGTTGAAAAGTTCTAAGAAATTGTAAAAAGAAAAAAAGAGCAATGATATTTAATACTCATTTCAACAAACTCATGCTTCTACATAATTTTTTACCAATAGAATTTGCTGGATTTGTTTTTAACACATTTAACTATTATATGAATTCCCGTGTCCTTCACTTAGGCATAAAAAATTCAAGTGTTATTGTACAATGAAGATATCTATTCTTTTTTTTAAAAAATAATTTTTTATATAGTTAAGATTCTCCTAGTTGGAGGCTGATTTGACATATTGCCAGCAATTATTTTAACTTTCTCCCAAAGCAAAAATTAATTGTTTTTGTTTGAGCAGACATATCATCTTGATGATATTCATCATTGCCATCACGTCAGAACCAACTGATAGCTTGTTCTCCAGAAAGTTTTCCAAGGCTATAAATCACAAGTGAACAGATTGCCCAACTTTCACCCTCCTAGCCGCTGATAGACTCAAACAACCACAGAGGCATGGTCTCAAGGTTAACAGCACAGCTCCTTACAAACCATGACACCAGAGTGCCCACCGATCATCCTGCTATCTATACAAGACTAAAGCAAACTGCATGTCATGACATAGTATGATCTTCAGGTACAGTCTCATCCAGAATAAACTTACAAAAATAAATATGCACTAATTCCAATTCTGATACCTTTACTGTACATTCTGAAAAAAATGTACAGTAAAATTTATAAAATGAAAATTAAAGCCCAACTCTGGGCTGCTTAAAAGATCTACTTTTTTCTCTTTTCTGAATTTATGGTACCAAAAGATTCATATATGGTGTAACTCTCTGCGAAATAAAGAAGGTCTCTGAAACATGTGCAAAACTGTACACAACAAACTGATCTGTAGCAAGAAATCTACTTCATCTTTCCATGTAGAATTTTCTGTTGACAGGTGAGTCTGGCTACCAGAACACTCTAGATCAGGAAGGTAAATGGCATGACTAATTCAGAAGGGGAAAGAGGAAGGTAAAGCTAGTAATTGTGAGTAAGGCGGTAAAAATGCAGGTAGGTGGCAACTTAATGAATCATTTTGTTTACTGAAATGATTTTTTAATACTGCTAGTTTATATAACATCCTTCATTTTTTAGTAACTAAGTCCATGAACAAAGATAAAAAAAGTCAAACATCATCTAATACAAAATTAATGTATTTATTATATAAAGCCTCTCTTACATTATGCAAAAGCAATCCATTCCTTTCACAAATCTAAGAAGCTAAATATTAAAAAAAGAAGCTATATTCTAATTCAATTTATTAAGAGCCAAATCCAACCTTTTTCATAATCCATTATCAAAGGAAAACAAAAGAAAGAAATTTTATTTAAAACTCACCAATTTGACCTACAAATTCAATTCGGATTCCTTGGTGCTCTAGTCTCTTTCCAGGTTGCTTGAAGGCTAGGTTTACCTGCCAAAGCATCAAATTATAAGAGATGTTAACAATTCTTTGAGTGAGTCTACTAGTAGATTCTTTCCAAATGAATACAATACATTAAGTATTTCAGGATAAACTATCTAAGTATACATTTCTGAAGTTGAGACACTTCCAAATACATCAGGATGACCTTAGGGCACTAGAAAGGTCTAAAATATCCATATGCAATTATTAATAAGCCTATTGTTTACACACATATGCTTAAAAGTATATTCTTCATTACGAATGAATCTTCAGAATATTAAAAAAAGGGAAAAGGACTCAATAAAATGTGTTTTCTGCTCAAAAATAATTTCATGACAGGGAAGGATTCAGAGCTGCTGGATACAGGGTAACTATATATCACAGGCAACTCAATGGCACATAAAAACAATAACATATTATGACAGGTTTGGAAGCAGGAGTGGCATCCACCTCCTAAAAAACATGCCTCTGGAAACTATAAAATTTGGTAAGTGTCAATAATTGTAGAGCGGCTTCAGGCCTTTTGTTCATAGGGTCACTATGAGTCGTGCTCTACTTGAATGCAATCAACAACAATAGTAGCATTTTAGTATGAGGTAATCACTAATTCCAAACACTGACCTAAAAATTACACTCAATTTTTATAACCAAGAAAATGGTCATAAACTTGAGCCTGAAAAGCAATGCACATTACCACGTTTGTCACTTATTCTAAAAACAGAATCACTAAACAGTTAAATTCTGAGTATGACTTATGTACTTTTAAAGAAAAATGCAAAATCTCAAAATCTCTCCATTCATAGAGCTGCCAAATAGAAATACTAAATCTGTAATTTATTAGTCTGAAAAACTTCAGAGGGAGTATACATCTTAAATTCCAAACATTTGAGGATTACCTAATACAGAATATGTTTTCATACAAAATATCACCCTTCCAGGTTTACTCTTAAAAGAAATATGAGCAACAGGACTCTTAAAAGTTTTTCAAAAAAATTCTCAAAAGATTCTAGAATTCAAGGATCAATGAAACAGGATAACCACCATGGAAGGTGGTCTGGTGCTTTCTCAAAAAGTTGGAAATAGAAATGCCATTTGACTAACCAATTCCACTATTGGGAATATATCCTAAAGAAACTATTAGAGATACAACTAAACAGATATAAGCACATCCATGTATATTGTTGTATTATTCACAATAGCAAAGAGATGGAAGCAACCCAAGTCCCCATTAACAAGTGAATGGATAGAAAAACTATGGTACATCCACACAATGAAATACTATGCAGCACTGAAAAACAATGGAATAGTGAAACATTACACAACATGAGGGAGCCTGGAGGACATTAACTGAAATAGCTCAGTCACAAAAGGGCAAATATTGCATAATATTATTGTTATAAAATAGGGTACACATGGGGAGGGTGGGGAGGAAATGGGGAAAGAGTGGATAGACAATGAACACTACATAAAAACAGATGAAGAGAAGAACTGTCCAAAAGGAATATAGGATTATAAATTATATATATGAGAAAAATCTGGAACAATGAGTGCACTGTGGGGTGATCTGGGGGAGGGAAAGGGAGAAGAAAATGTGCAACAATTAATGAATGAAAGAAAAACAAAGAAACAAAAAAGATCAATGAAACAGAGGTTCAGCTACTTCTGTTAGTAAAATATATACACTGAAGCTACATCTCACATACTTTGAGCATGTGGCCAGGAGTGACCAGTCTTTAGAGAAGGATATCATTCTCTGAAGGGTGGAGGGACAGCACAGGAGAGGAAGACCTGGGATGAGATGGCTTGACACAGTAACTGAGGTAATGGGATTAGGAGTGTCGGAGTCAGTGAGACTGGCTCAGGATAGGGCAGGCTTCAGAGCTGATGTACATAGGGTCACTATGAGTCACAGGTGACTGGACAATACTATAACCACAACAATATCTCTAACAAGGGAACTCTGATGGATTAGGGGTAGGAGTTGTTCTGTCAACCTAAAGATAAACAGTTCGAATCTATTAGCTGCCCTATAGAAGAGAGACGAGTAACCTCTCATGCTATTTACAGCCTCTGAAAACCAGCTGGAGGGTCAGCTATGAGTCAGTTCCAACTGGAGAGCACATAACAATATCTATAACAAAGTAAGTTAGTTACTTCCTTTCAAAAATAGCATGTAAGGACAGGGAAGTAAATAAACTGTGATATATCTAAATGAAATATTATTAAAAGTTTCAAAATCGTGAAAAAATTTTTAATGATGTGGATGATTTTTAATGATGTGAATGATTTTTCACATTAAGGAAGTAGGAGAAAACTGTATACAAATACAAACCTGGTTAAACTACAGGAAGTAAACATAGTAGCATTTACTTTTGATTATGAGCAATTTCTGATTTCGTCTTCAGAGGTTCTGCAATTTTCAAGCTTGTTTGTGGTGATTGTTGGGGATTTTCCCCCCATAATGGGCAAATAATACTTTCAAAGTCAGAAAACATTTTTAAAAGAAAAGCAGTTGGAGAAGCCTCATATACACTAACAAGTTACATTTTAGTTCTGAACCTCATATTAAACAAGCAAACCAGATGGCAATTAACTATTCTCTTATTTGTGTAAATAAAGCACATAATAAACAGTACATTTAAAAAAATCTCTATTCAGTAGCTGGCTTTTCAGAATGTTTATCTGTTTAGAGATGGCTGTGTCTGTTTCAGTCATGCCTCACGTTATACATTTTTGGCAAGAAAACCACAGTCGCTTGGTTGTGTTTTTCTCAGTGCTATCCTACCAGAAAGTACACATTGACCAAGTTCATCCAATGTTGCTGATGCTGATTTGGTTAAGAAGATTCACTAGGTTCTTCAGGGTAAAGTTATTATCTTTCCTTTACCTAACAAAGTATATGGAGATACTGGAGAACATGCAGATAAATTGAAAAGAGTATGAGAAAAGAACTTAGGAAAATGGAATACATGTAAGACAGACCATATTTTTATAACAACATGCATAGCACTTATAAGAAGCTAAAGAGTAAGGGGGATTTCATAATTTGCAAAAGTACTTAAAAACATGTATTATTTGCATTAAAAATATAGTAATCTTGGCACTATCAAACTTGTTTCCAAGATCATTCATCTCATCTCTCAAATAAATGCGATCTTCAAGGAGTAAAGTTCTTCAAGATTAAGTTTTAAGACAAATATGTAACATCATTGGACTACAAGCCATTTATAGTGTCATTTTTTAGTAAAGCAACAAGATATTTACTCTTTTTTTGTTGCTGAATAAGTTGGTTATCCAAGAGTAGTTTCCAAGTGCTGTCAGAGAGCATAGTCCATATTCATGTTGAATGATGATTGTTATTGTTATGTGTCATCTAGTCGCTTGTGATTCATAGTGACCCTATGAATAAGAGCCCTAAACCCTGCTGTATCCTGTGCCAACCTCACTGTCTCCAACAGACCTACTCCCACTGCCCCAATCACCAAATCAGTCCATCTCATTGAGGGTCTTCCTCTCCTGTGCCATCCCTCCACTCTCCCAAGCATGACGTCCCTCTCCAAAGATTCCTCCCTCCTTGCAACATGCCCAAAGTATGTCAGATGAAGCTTCAGAATCCTTGCCTTCAAGGAGTCCAGCTTCGCCCTTTCTAGGATGAACCTGTTTGTTCTAGTAGTCCATGGCATATTCAACATTCTTCTCCAGCATGAGAGCTCAAAGGCATCAATTCTCTTTCTATCATCCCTAGTCATTTTCCAGCTCTCCAATGCATAGCAAGGAAGTGAGAAGTCTATAGCCCAGATCACACACACTTTAGTCTCCAGCCTGACGTCGTTGCTCTTCAGTAGTCTGGAAAGGTCCCTGACAGCTGATTTTCGCAATGCAATTTGTCTCTTGATTTCCTGGCTGCTGGTACCAGGAGGTTGACTACGGAGCCAAGCAAACTAAAACTATTAACTATCTCAATCTCTTCACCATCCATACTGATGTTGCCAATTGGGCCAGTGATGAGAATTTTAGTTTTCTTGATGTTGAGCTTTAATCCATATTGAAGGCTGTAAGTCCTTGACATTCTACAGCAAGTGCTTCAGGTCCTCCTCAGTTTCAGCAAGCAGGGTTGTGTCATCTTCATAACGCAGGTTGTTGATGAATCTTCTACCAGCGTCTCTGATGATCTGTTCTGCATACAGATTGAAAAGGTATCAAGACAGAATACATCCCTGACGGAACCCCTTCTTGATTTTGAATTCATGTAGTGTCTCCTTGCTCTGTTCTAACGACTGCCTCTTGGTCCAAGTATAGGTTTTGCATAAGCACAATCAAATGTTCTGGGATTCCCATTCTTCTCAGAGTCAGACACAGCTTGTTGTGATCCACACAGTCAAAAGCCTTTGCATAGTCAATGAAGCACAGATAGACATTCTTCTGGTATCTTCTGCTTTCTGCCAAGATCCATCTAACATTAGCTATAGGTTTGCTCTGTCCCTGGAGTGAGGTTAGCCAGCCTGGGCCTAGGGTTTGAACCAGGGGGTGGCCTTAAGCCGAAGGAAGCTGGGAAGGAAGCGGCCATGTTGTTCCTGGTTTGGCTGGCGCCTTCACAGGCTCGTGAGAAGCTCTCCTTGCCAGAAGGCAGGAGCGTGGTGGTGGGGAGTGCAGTTATCGTGGAAAGCTTTGGAGTGGACTGCTTTTCCGGGAATGTGTTTGACGTGCAGGTTTGCTCTGTCCCTGGAGTGAGGTTAGCCAGCCTGGGCCTAGGGTTTGAACCAGGAGGCGGCCTTAAGCCCAAAGGGCCCGAGGGCTGCAGGTTCAAATTGTCTTCCTGTCAAACATTCTTCTAGGTGGTATAGCACTGGTCTGTGCGTTGCTGTAATGCTGAAGCCTGTGACAGTGATGTGCCAATCGTGGTAATGGGCACCCATGGTGGACAGTGTTGGCTGGAGCTTCCCGACTAAATCAAACCTGGAAGCAGGAGCGGCATCTACTTCCAAAATGGCTTGCCTCTGGAAACTCTA